TCTCTCTCTCTCTCTCTCTCTCTCTCTCTCTCTCTCTCTCTCTCTCTCTCTCTTTCTTTCTTTCTTTCTTTCTTACTCAGCACCTCATTTTGAGCTAAATATTTTGTATGCATTATCTCACTAATGAGGAAACTGAAGCTCACAGAAATCAAGCACTTAAGAAATTAAGTTACATAGCTATAAGCTGAACCAGAATTAAAACGCGTGTCTTTCTGATTTTCCACAATAAGAGCTAACTACCATACTATATGCCTCCTAAAAGACTCATACGTGTTTGTAGACTATAACAAGTTTTTTTTGAAGACAAGTATAATCTCCATATTTTAAACAGAAAAAATATTTTAATATCACTTCTGGCAGTACCATCATGCCAACATAATAGGCTCTGTTAAGATAATGATACAGGCCATAAAAAATAGAAAATTCACTCAACCACATTAGTCTCCTAAACTAGTGTTTAACATTGTATTTCCAACATATGTTAAACTCACATAGGAAAATCCATCTTGTCTGACATGAGCAGGATTCAGTTACACAAAATAAACAAATATATTTTTAAAAATATTTTTGAAAGAGTATATATAATTATCATGAATTCGGTCATAATCAAATCAGTTCCCTCTGCATCCACATGCAATACAGATTTTATGCTGCATAATTCCTAAATAAACTACTCATTTTTAGCTGAACTTTGAAGTTAGCTACAGGGCATTGGCAGAAGAAGGCATTTTAAATTATCTTTATTGACAGACCATCTAACCACTTCAAATATTTTATTTTTTAAAAAATATGATTAACAAAAAAATCCATGAACCCATAACCCTAATAGAAGTCTTTTCCTTTGTGATTTCTTTTGCTTCAAATCTCAGAAAGTAACTAAATGATACTTTTAACAATTTTGATTGTATACAAAAATGTAACAGCATCTTTTTAAATACTAGTGGGAAAAAGTTTGATAGGACAATACTGCTCATATTGGTATTTTCTCAATTTTGGCTTGTGTGCACATTCATATGTGCAAACATACATACACATGTTTAAAACTAATGTTAATGCTGATAACTAATTTAAATTAAATGCTATGTCATACAATTTTTTAAATATGTTACTGGAAATGGAATTTTTCATCTTTGTGGAATAATTTTTTTTTTTAATCACTTAGCTAACAGTGTGGTTTTTCCAGAATATCCTCCATCTTCAAATTATATCCGTGGTTATAACCATCCTTGTGGCTATGTATGTTCACCACTGAGAGAGTAAGTTTTATTTACATTTTTTATTTTAACAGCTTTTTTAGTTCAATTTGTGAATTAATGCAGGATTCCTGGCTCATCAGTAGAAATATGTACCAGCATATTCTGTTGTGAAAAAAACTGACCCTAAGTGCATTTTTAATATAACTTTTTATAATTGTTTTTATATTAAGTATAATGAGAATAGATAATTTTCTATAAAGTGTGATTTGAAGTTTCTGGAAATAGTCAAACATACCCAAACATTTTCCCACAGTTAAACTTTCCCTGATGTTTTGTATTTCCCCATTAGAGTCACTTCTATAAATTAAGGAATTTTTGTGAATTAAAAATGTTTGGATCATTTACCAAACATGGTAAATGAAGGGGTAAACATCATTTACCCCTTACCAACCAGCTGCCATAAACAAACAAATAAATAAACAAACAAATAAATAGATAGATAAATTTTCCTAGAATTACAACACACTTGCATTTACCCGCAATGATTGCTTTACCTTGAATGAATTATCTCCAGGGGACTACCTACTGAAAGCAGATACCTACAGAAGGGAAACCCAATAGGTATATTTAGATAAGAGAAAACCTGGAGAAATCAGAGATGAGTCACTGCCTACAGGTAGTCAGACTAGGGATAAGATGGCAACATAGAATACACATATTCTGTAAAAGCATGTACTCTAATTTAATGTATATCATTTCACAAATTCCTTAAGTTTTAATTTTTATTAAATGGTTTATTAAGTAAAAGATATTGGCACGTAGATTAAGTGTAAAACTTTATATTGGTTAGATATAAGCCTCTCAATACAAGAAATACAATATGTATGTGAAGATAACCAAATAAAATTAAATTTTAGACCCATATTCCTTAATGTTTTCTCTACTGAATGAGCAAACTAAAAGATCCCTCACAATTGTTTGCATTAATGGATAGGATCATTGGTGTGGATGATAATAATAATTATAATAACAATGTGTGGTCTTTCTACCCATTTGTCAAATTTGAATCTATGGCCAAGACTTTATTCTTCATAGCAGGAGGGAACAAAACAAAGGACTACTGCTCCAAATCAGTGAGGTAAATCAGTTGCTGTCAGGGACTCCAGCTGAGAAGTTATGCATCCTAAAGTATGCTTCACAGGCCAAGGCCCCTTCTTGCACCTTGTCAACTCTTCCTTTGCACTGCAAAAAGTATGGGACAAAAGCTTTAATCTAGATATCCTATCTAGAGTAGGAACTCCACTTCGCATCTTGCTAGGTTAAAGATATAGTCTCATTCATAGTTGGAGAGAAAGATGCTGACAAAAAAATGAGTCTTTCGTACCTTCTCTTTCCATGCAGCCCAACATTCTGGACAACCAACATTTGTAAACAAGCCATGCAGGACACTTATAAAACACATTATCAGTAGTAAAAGTACACTCTAGTAAATACTGGAAAGGCTTTCTATGTGTGTAAAGCCATAGTAAACTCAAATAGAGATTTAAGACCAAACAAACTTCTAGTAAGTATTCTCAATCCAGCCATTTGAGATCTGTGAAAATAGTCTAAACTGCATAGAGAAGGATATTGGAAAATGGGCACTCATGCTATTGGTTGGGAGCAGTGGTCTTCATACCCTCTAAAAGAATTTGGTAAAATTGTATTCTCCTTCCAACCTAAATGATAGTCGATAAAAGGACTGTTAAATAGAGTGTGAAATACTATATGTGGCCATGAAAAACAATTAAGCAGATCTGTATTTAAAGACACAGAAGGAAGTACATGATATCCTATTAAGAGGAAAATAAAACTAGTTGCAGAAAAATAAACATCTCATTTTTTAAAAAACAAACAAAATTGTGTATTGATGTATGTGGAATACATATGCATAAATGTACATATGTATGCTCTCTTTTTATATACATAGACAACTGTCTAAGATACAGTTAAAACTATAAACAGTGATTACCTCTGGGGAACAGAATAAGGGAGGGATAAACCTCTTTATGAAAATTCTGTATTGCTTAAATTTTCATAGTAAGCATACATTACTTATATAATTTTAAAAGTCAGTAAAATGACAAAAAGGAAAAGGTGTCTAACACTAAAGATTTTAAGATATATTCTATCTGATATTTTTTGTAAAATTTTTATTTGTAAGGATGAGTCTGTAAATTACTCAATCTCTTTCTTTTTCCTTCCTTCCTTCGTAACTATTTATCCTATCGTAAGCCCTATGGAGGGAATCAACAGTGAATAAGACAAGAATCCTGCTTTCCATAAACCTGTAAATTCAATAGGTAAATCTTAAAATTCTTTATCTTTTTTAACTCTTCCTTTGCTTACAGAAACCCAGCATATTCCAAACTAGTGATGTTTGTCCAGACAGACATGAAAGGAAAATTGTCCCCATCAATAATTGAAAAAACCATGCCTTCCAACTTAGTAAGCTTTGTCCTCAATGCAAAAGATGGAATAAAGGCATACAAAACTCCATCAGTACGTGGATGTCATCATAATGGTCATTCATCATTCCAAAAGAAGAAATGAGGCCATTCTGCTATAAAATCATGTGTAGTAATTATTGCAGTTTACTTCTAAGTCAACATGCATAAATACTGTTAAACTATTCTGTACAGTATTCTTGTACACATTACTGAAGAACCTGTGAAAATAAGAACTCGTAGTTGAACAAGATAACATCATTAAATATAGTTTTTAATCTCATGTAAGAATGTTTAATAGCATGTGTTATTAATACACTTTTATCTTTTGCTTTTGTCACTAGAAAAGGTTCTGCATTAGAATCAATAAGAAAACAGATACAGTCACATGTCAGCATTAATTAAAGATTAAAAAACATTTTAAATCATTTTTCCTTCACTTACTGCTTAAATTGAGAATTGTAGGAACATGAACTTAAAAATTGAAAAGAATTCCACTGAAATGTGTGACCAATGACATTTTGCATTTTTTTTTTTCTTTTGCGGCTGGCCAGCATGGAGATCTGAACCTATGACCATGGTGTAATATGACCATGGTGCTCTAACCAGCTGAGCTAACTGGCCAGCCTGACATTTTGAAGTTGAAATTGAATGAGTCATAAATCAGTTTCTGGTTGTGGCCAAAATGTAGTAGCCCATTTCTCCCTCGTCTTTCCTCCTTCAACTAAAAGACCCTACACATAACACAACAATCAAGCATTGGAACTCAAGCATAGGTGGAAAGAAGACAGCAAATTGTCTGGGGACCTTAGGACTTAAGGAATGACCTTCACCAAGTTCTCTGGGTTTCCTTATTGCCTCCCATAGATCCCAGACAGGGCACTGCAGAAGCCTCTAACCAGGAACTACTAACAGGCAAGTAACTAAAAAAAGAATAAAATAAGCTTCAGGAAAAAAGGCACAGGACCAGGAAAAGCGCAGCCTAACAGAACAAAAAAACTTCATGACATTACCCACCCTACACAGCCAAACAACAACCTAAAAGCCATCCCCACCCCACCCATGGTTTTAGTGGGACAGAGCAGGTAGATTCTCTTCTACCAAACCCTACCCCCATCCCACAGAAGCAGTCAGTGGTGCTCTGACACCCCCACTCTAAGGTGTCAGGAAGGCTCAGCAAGGAGCTAATCTCCCATCTTCTATGTGGCAGAAGCAGACAGCACTCTGAGTACCCTTCCAGGTGATGCTGGCTAACCAAGCAGGGAACTAATTTTCTATTTTCCACCCAGCAAAGCAGGTGGTGGTACAGACAGTATCAGTGGAGTCCAGTGACAAAGACCTTCCACCCCCACCTGGCAGCAAGAAGGCTAGTGACTACCGAGCATCACTGCCCTCTCCATCCCTGTTGTGACCAAGGACCAGCAGGATGCTAAGCCTCCATCCCCACCCAAGATCAGTGGTTTCCCTTCTATAGTAGGAATAATGTGCCCCCAAAAGATATGTCCATGTCAAACCCCTGGAACCTGTGGATGTGACCTTATATGGAAAAAGAGTCTTTGCAGAAGTAATTAAGGACCTCAAGATGAGATCATCCTGGATTATCCCAGTGGGCCCTAAATCCAATCACAAGTGTTCTTATAAGAGATGCACAGAGGACCGACACATGGAGAAGAGGAGAAGGCCATGTGAAGACAGAGGCAGAGACTGGAGTTTTGCAGCCACAAAATAAGGAACACCTGGAGCCACCATATGCTAGAAGAGGGAAGGAAGGATTCTTCCCTAGAGACTTTGGAGGGAGTGTGGCCGTGCTGACACCTCAGATTTAGACTTCTGGCCTCCAGAACTGTGAGAGAATAGTTTGCTTTTTTTTAAGCCACCAAATTTGTGGTAATTTGTTAAAGTAGCCATTAGAAACTATTATGCCTTCTGTGACGTTAGCAGGGTTCAGCAGGGGTCTAAGCCTCCATTCCTACCTGGGTATCAACAATATGGAACAAGCTGGTAGGACATGGGCCTATTCAGCACTCCACTTCCTTGTCCCTTCCCCTAGTATCATAGGGACCCACCCACTGGGAGGCAACAAGGATATGCAAATCAGTGCCCACTTTTGCCAGGAAGGTGCTGGCAGGGACAGAAGAGGAGCTGAACTGCCACCTCACCCATCTGCAATGAGTGTCAGACAGTGCTCTACTTTTGCCAGGGTGGTGATGGCAGGACTTGGTGGGGAGCTGAGCATACACATCCACCCAGCCCTCACATTCCACCTGAACAGTGGGACTACCTGCTAAAAAGGAAGATTAAATAGGATCCAGAGTCCTTCAGAAAAGAAAGAACATCATCAGAAGAGGTAAAAATATACTATCCTCATGAGTATATTAAGTCATATTTGATAGTTGACAAAGGTTCAAAAGCAATTCAATTGAAGAAAGCCTTTCAGTAAATGGTGTTGGAGCAACTGGACATCCATAGGCTTCGAACTAACCTTACACCTTATACCAAAATTAACTCAGAATAGAACATGAACTTAAATGCAAAACTACAAAACTTTTAGGAGAAAATCTTCAGAACTTACAGGTAGGCAGTGTTCTTATACTTGACATCAAAAGCATGATTCTTAAAAGGAAGAAATGATAAACTGATCTTCATCAAAATAAAAAATGTATGCTATGTGAAAGACCCAATGAAAAGGATGAAAGACAATGACAGAACAGGAGAAAATATTTGCAAGACATTTCTGATAAAGGACTTGTATCTAGAATGTTCCAAGAGCTTTTGAAACGCAATAGTATAAGAAACAATCCAATTATAAAATGGGCCAAGGACATGGACATTTCACTGAAAAGGACATGTAGATGGCAAATAAGCTCATGCAAAGATGTCCAATATCATTGTTATTAGGTAAATGGAAATAAAAACCACAGTGAGATATCAGTACATGTTTATCAGAATCGATAGCATTTTTTTTTAAAAAAGTGATAACATCAAGTATGGGCAAGGATGTGGAGAAACTGGATCACTCATACATTGCAGGTAGAAATATGAAGTGGTACTAAGTTGTGCTCTCTTCCTTCTCTGGAAAAATTCAGCAGTATCTTACAAAACTAAACGTGCTTACTGTACAACTCAGCAATTGTGCTCTTCATCCGATAGTAATGAAAATGTTCGCACAAAAAAACATACACAAATATTCATAGTGGCTTCATTCTAAACAGCCCAAAGCTGGAAACAACCCACATATTCTTTAATGGGTGAATAAATTGTGGTAATCGATACATGGAATACTACAAAGCAAGAAAAAGGAATGAACTATTGATACAACTTGGAAGGTCTCAAGGGAATTATGCTGAATAAAAAAAAGCCAATTTAAGATGATTAAATAGTGTATTCATCAATTAAAAAACACTCTTGAAGTGACAAAATTATAGTGATGAAGAACAGAATTAGCAGTTGCTGGGGTTGGGGATGGGCAAGAAGGAAGGTGGCTGTGGCTTTGAAAAGGTAGAGGGAGGGATCCTTGTGATCTCTTGTCTGTGGTGATAGTCACATGAATCTATACATGCAATAAAATTGCATAAATTTAACACACACATATAAATAAGTGCATGTAAAACTGGCGACTGGTGATATCTGAATAAAGGCAGTGGATAGTATCAACGTCAGTTCCCTAGTTGTGATACTGTACCATAGTTATGCAAAATATCATCATTGTGTGAACTGGGTAAGGGGAATGTGAATCACTGTATTATTTTTTACAATTGTATGCAGGTTTATAATTATCTCAAAAATTTTTTTAAAAGTAGAAAAACCTATTCAAGCCAAAAAAAAAAAAGAAAAAAAGAAAAAGAAAAAAGAGCCATGAGCATTTGTTTTTGAAATTTTAATTTTTTAAAAAAATTTTTCGGCAGCTGGCCAGTACAGGGATCTAACTCTGGACCTTGGTGTTATCAGCACTATGCTCTAACCAACTGAGCTAACTGGCCAGCCCCCTGAAATTTTTATTTTTAATGATCTATCATATCTCTCATCATTTACCAATATATAGTTGATATGTTTACATTATTAATACTTGTTTGACATTACGCTTTAGAAGCAGTTTCTCCAGTGAAGATTTCTAATCTCATTCTGTGGATTGGAATGATTAAGGAAATATCTAGCCCCAGGAAAAAGTCTGCTTTTATTTATAAATATAATATATTACATAACAAATCTAAACAAGCACGTACCTTTTTGGAATTGTGGCTTGAACAGCTGTAATGTTTCACAGAAAATAATGTCAAAATTCAAGTGTAGGAAGACACAAAAATATCATTCCCGTAAAGAATGGTTAGATCCTTCCATGGTGTAGTCACTTCCAACTCCTTAAATAATCACCTTCTAACTTCAGAAGTTTGTCTTCCAGCCTCTTTGTGTGAGAGAGGATGCACAAAAACTTGGGAGATGGGACGAAGGGCATAGTGGGAGAGATGATGAAAAGCGCGTAGAAAACCACTGTGATTTAGAAGAGCAGCTTAAAGGGAGTCTCTGGTTTCTGTTCCCAACTCACCTTCTAACTTCAGAAGTTTGTCTTCCAGCCTCTTTGTGTGAGAGAGGATGCACAGAAACTTGGGAGATGGGACGAAGGGCATAGTGGGAGAGATGATGAAAAGCGTGTAGAAAACCACTGTGATTTAGAAGAGCAGCTTAAAGGGAGTCTCTGGTTTCTGTTCCCAACTCCTTGAGTGTTGTTCTCTCTTCCTAAAACTCCCAAGATTTGAAGTGTTATTTTTCCTTTTCTAATAAATTTTTGGAAGACAAAATTAAAGGTGCAATTATACTATGATTTAGAATATGCTTTGTTTTGTGAATAAGCCACTTTTTCTGTTTTCCAGTTTAGACTACTCTTAGAAGAATGTGAGCCTTTTAGTCACCCACTAACTCCATAAACACACAAATCACCAAATTTCACATTTTAATAGGATATATATTCTAAGAAAGACAAAAGATTTTGAAATCAGAAAGCAAAAAGTTTACTCTTCTCCATTTCACAAATGACAAAGTAAGATATGTAATTAACTTGTCTCCTATTTAAGGTAAAATGTAAATAATAATACCAAAAAGAAGAAAAAA